CAAATAACTGCTCTGCAAGAAGACTTAGAGAACAAAACCTTGTTTCCTTGCAAGCAAATCCAGGCCTTGCTCAGAAGTCTTCCAACCAGAATTATGGAGCAGAAATCCAATGTCCCAGTTTGAGAGGTTCAGATAAATTTGAGTTCATTTTCTCTGCATTATTTTTACTTCTGTCTCTCTGGAAACAAACCCTGAAGGTTAGTTTCTACAGGGGGAGGAGAGGCTGGAAAGAAAAGGTGGTATCAAGATGCTCAGCAGAGAGAGTTCATTAGACTGCTCTTCTCTGTGAAGAAACTGGGTTTCCCCAAAGATTAAGGGAGCTCTGCTAGATCAAACATTCAAAGGACCTCCTAGAATAGAACCTGTGTGTGAATTGCCCCATGAAAAGGAACAGGTTTAACACAATGCACCCAGCCAGCAGAACCTTGCATACACAGGCCCTGCTCCACCAGGAAGCAGGACAATGTATGAAGGAGCTGGTGGTTTTCTCCCAGAAATTGATGGCTAAGCAGGGATGAGGACACAGCAGCAGAAAAGCTGCTACAATGAAGAGGAGCTCCTCATGGCTGGGCATACGACAAACCAGCAGGGAATCCACCTGACTATGGCCAAGGCAGATCCATAAATGCAGATCCATGAGGATGGAAATGCTGGAGCCACCACTGTGTCAGGTTGCTGGAGCTATCTCTGCAGAGACCTTCCTGCTGTGTGAGCAAGATGAGGCAGCTGGTTGCAGTCAACAAAGGGATGGAAGTCTTGCAAGGAATGGGAGAAGGCAAAAGGAGTGGGAAGCTATTCAATTGTCTCCAAATGCCACATAGGTGCTACTTCTCTTTTCTCAGCAGCCAGCAATGAGTCGGTCAGACCAGTCACCTGCTACACAGCAATGAACCCAGGAGCTGCTGACACTGAGAGAACCGCGAAGGCTGTGCCTTGCCAGCATCACCAGGAGCACCTTGCAGCCTGAGGACTGGAACCAGGACACTCCTCATCCAACTCTGCCACTGAGTCACTGGCACCATGTGGATCTTCAGCAGACATCTGCTTTGCATTCCCTCTGCTCCAGCACAGGCATCATCCCCAAGGTATATGGCCTGCCGAGGCCACCTCTCCTGCTGGGAGATTGACCTGATCTGATTTTAAGGGCAGGAAAACTACCATGAAATGACCTGGTCTCACTAAAGAATCTGCGCAACCCACCATCTTACAAATGCAAGCCCCTGCTAAGCAATATGCAGCAACAGATCTGGAGGGAACAGTACAATTCCTATTTCTGTTTGACCAACAACCAGGCATTCAAGCATCATAAACATACAAAGACAGCCCCTGTCTCAGGGAGACAACTTTCAGCACATCACTCCTCACAGCTCACCTCCCATCCATCATGCTTTCGCTTCTGCATTTAGCTTTGCTATGAAAAGGAGAGTCACCCAACAAAATTCTAGTAATGATCAGCACTAGATTGCTTTGCTCTGTGGAACAGCTCCTGCCCATGAAGGAATCTGCCTTGAGCTGCGGATGTGATTGAACACTAATTAAGCAACAGAATTGCCTACCAGAAAACCTGCTCTGTTTGGCTGTAACCACAACACACGAAGAAGCAGTCTTAACCCTGGCATATTTCTCTCTCTTTTTTTTTTCCGCTTTATAAACCAGACCTTTCAACACCCACAGGCCATAAAAACAAATCCCACTGCTGTTGTGACACAAAGATCTGCATCTTTCCTAAGTCTTAAGTCTCAGTGGCTTTGCTGGAGCTGGCCAGACAGCTTCACTTTTAACAAAAGGAAGACAACTGAAATAAAAAAAACCAAAGACACATCAAATCCTGACACTAAACCCCCTGGCTCTGCAGAAGCACAGCAGTGCTCACCAAACCCTGCAGCATTAGCACCCAGCTGAAGCAGAGATCCTGCATGCTTGGTAGCTTTTCCGCTCGGCAAAGCAAAATGCCTGGTGGGGACAGAGCCAGCAACGACTCATCCTGCCCCCACCTCCTCAGGTTCCAGATTGTGCAGACTCGTTCCTGGCACCCTCTCTTCCCACTCTGTCAAGACAGATGTCGCAGGGATACAGGAGGTGATGTGGGAGGTAGTGTGGGAGCTGATGGGCATTCAAGCTGTGAGGGGATTAACCTGCTCTGGCTGTTATTAAAGCCTCACTTCATGTCTGCAGGTAACACAGAACCACCTTCTTAGCTACACTGAGCTGAAACTAGGGGCCACAGAGATAACTCCCAATTCCACCCCACAGCCAGTGATTTCAGGCAATTCTTAGTATCTACAAATCCAGAAGGGAGCACCCAGTGCAGCTGAGCAGCAGCAGCTCCTCCCCACCCTTCATCCCCAACACCCTGAAGTTTTCATGAGCTTCCTGCTCGGTTACTTCATACAGCATCATGGGAGAGCAAGGCTTGGAAAAGACCACACCTTCCTGCAAGTGCCCAAGGGTGGATTTGTGCCCACATTGGCAACGAGTGTGTGTCCTCTGCTGATCTAAGAGCTGACACCTGCTGACAGTAACCAGCCACACCAGCTGGGCAATCCTGCCACAAGCTGGACAAGTACGATTTTTCACTCCCAGCATATCAAAAAGACCGTTTCTTTTCTCTCAGGATGGGGGTTTCAAGAGATGCCCTTTAAGAGCCAATCCTTGAATCTTCAACAATCATAGATCCTTTGTATTTTAGCCTTTTTTTGTTAAATTAACTCAGTAACAAAATGGCTTCTGCATGCTCAGATTTTTGCAAAAAAGTGTGAAAGTGAGAGGACTCAGAGAACAGCGAGAGCAGCACTTCCAGCAAGTTTTCACTGGGAGGTGTTGATTAGCAGATTTCCAAAGAGCTCAACCCAGTCCTTAATGCAAGCTCAAGATAAAAAAAAAACAATTTATGCACTAAAACAGTTTAAGCTAAAGGCAAAGCAGGGAACAGAGCTGGTCTCCGCGCTGCAAAGGCAGCAATGCTGCTCCAAGTCCCCAGAGAGGTGCTGCATAGTGATGGCAACTCTCAAATTTTTTTGTTGCTTTCCTGTTGTGGCTTTTTACAGAACGTCCCATCACACTCAAGTGTTTTAGAGAAACCCTGTACCTAATTAACTGAAACCCTGTATCTAACTCTCACTATCCAAACTGAAACTCTGTATCCAAAATCAAGGCCTAAACCTGGAAGAGGGAAGATACAGGTTTGACCTGAGGAGGAAATTCTTGCCTGTGAGGGTGGTGAGACCCTGGCCCAGGTTGCCCAGAGAAGCTGTGGCTGCCCCATCCCTGGCAGTGTTGAAGGGCAGGTTGGATGGGGCTTGGAGCAACCTGGTCCAAGGTTGGACCTATTTGAGATAGGCAGAACTTGGTAACTGCAGGCAGAGGAGATGTGAACAATGGGGGTGCCTGTGGGGTGGAGGTGGTGTTGAAAGAAAAGGCTCAACAGTCACAAAGATTGCAGGTTTTGAAACCTGGAGGACTTGTGTGATGGGCTGGAGGGGACATCAGACCTGTGGACCTAATCTCAAAACAAAGGCAGCAGGAGCCTCGAGATAAAAGGATGTTACATGGTGGGATGTGTCCCTGCCCATGCAGAGGGGTTGGATCTAGATGATCTTTAAGGTCCCTTCCAGCCCAAGCCAGTCTGTGATTCTATTATTATCTTAAATGCTCCAACACTAGCAGTGGGAGATATGGATTTTATTACCATTTTTTATTACTCATTTACTGAAGGAGCCCCAGGCCTTTGAGGACTAAGCACTAAGGCCTGGACCTGTGTGTAAATCCTTTGCAGTGAGCCAAACATAAGATCATTTTTTGCTTTATCCAGAGAACTGAGCACCCAGTTAATCCAACCCATGCTGGGATATCACGGGTCAGCCCAGTCACTGAGCAGTGAACCCAATGGTCCCACAGCCGTAAGTGAGGGCACAATTTTCCCCCACTCGTGGGACAGGCCTGACAACCCTGATGAGGAACATATGCAAGAAAACACATTGTTAGCAACATGTTGGGTTCTGTCCTTTCCCTTCTTGGTTTTAGCTCACACAACCTGTGTGTGTGGCAACAGTCATCACCTTGATGATGGGCATCTTGGGACAGTCAGGAAGAAGAGGGAATAAGGGAGGCAGTGAAATGTACCTGAAGTAACACACAGGAGCTCTGAACCACCTGTAGGCTTTGCAAGATTGTGAGGAAAGCTGCAAACCCAGGGAAAGCACAGACACGAAGGACACAGGCTCCCAGTACCAGGGGGAAGGTGTCCCAGTGAGTGAACTGCCTGAGGGTGAGGGAGCCTGGGCAGAGGCAGCAATGACTCTGTACTCCCACTGCCTGCCCTGCGGAAGATCTGCCGCAGTGAAGGGGCAGTCAAATATTTTCTTGAGTCAGTTCAGGCACCATGGAGGTGAGCTCTAACAGCCACTCACTCAGTGCAGGTGGCACCAGGCAGAGCCTTGCACCCTTCCTCGGGGTCTCTGATGCCACATCCACACAAGCAGCAGCACTACCTTGAATGAGTGACAAGTGGTTTCTTCTTTCAGTCCTCAGAGCAGCGGGAGCTCAGTCTTACTGTAGATTTCAGGTGAGCTGTATGACGTGGTCAGCTGCAGAGAAGCCTAAAACCCATTTCCAAAATGATGACTATTTAATCCTAGGAAATCGTTGCTGCCAAACAGCTGTGGGCATCTCCCAGCTCAGTTCTTCTGTTACCTAGTGCTGCAACCCCAGCTTATGCATGAAGCTTATGCCATCTTCTGCCCAAAACACCTTGCAGTCTCCAAGCAGGTTATTTCAGTGTGACTTACAGAAATATTGAATGGATCTAGAGCTCAGGACCACTGGCTCTCCAAAAAGAAATGAGAGGAGCAGCTGCTGTTGTCCTAAGAAAGGACAAGGTCCACCAAGCTCTAGGAGTCAGTTTGTGACAGCAAAGCCCAGGTACCCCCTGAGGAGAACTGGGCAAGGAGGCTGCACTCAACAGGGCAAAGACAAAGAACGTGGCAGGGCTCATACTGGTCAAGATGCAAAAATCTTTATTCCAGTTCTGAATTGGGAAAAGTCATCCCCTCCAGAGCTCACTGTTTGGCAGTTCAGTCAGCACAGGGAGAGGTCACGCTTGCTCAGCAGAGGCACCAGCTTAGAGGACACAGTCCTGTAGGCACTTTAAGAGGAAGTTCAGCTTCTAAGTACAAACACTGAACAGTTTGACTGAAATTTTTAATATAAAAACTCACTAAAAATGCTAAAATGTGACAAACCATTGGAAATACTGTGACAAACATTCGCCCTGATGCAGTAAAAAACAAAACAAACCCAAACTGGCAAGAAGCTTTGAAATGCATGTTTTCTTCCTCCTGGCACATCAGACCATCAACCACTTAAAAGATTCATCTAAAAAATCCATGGCACCTTCACCTTGTACTCCAGTGCAAGAAGCTACTCTCGATGGACCAGCACAAATAAACCCAGTAAAAAGAGGACTGCATACTGTAAAAGAAAGAAGACACAAGAGTGCAGATTCATACCTAAAGATGCAGCAACGGAAGCAAATATAGAGGGCTATGCTTAGGAAGTTCTCATGCAGTAATCTTGGCTGGGGTGGGAGAAAATGAAAGAGCTCTTACCTTAAATTTTGGATAATCGTTCATTAAGATAGTCACTATTCCAATATAGGGCACAAATCTAAAAGAATAAAGATGTTATTAAAACAAACAGTATTCAGGGGTGCACACAGGAGAAGCACTGCCCTGGTACTTGTGCATGGGAAGGGCCAGCCAAGCATGCTGAAGATGATGGCCAACAGACTTGGGACTTCTTCATCCCACAGCAGTGGTGGCTGAGTGATAACCAGCCCCAGAGCACGTTTTAGCCTCTGCCTTCTCCAGATCTCACTTCCCTGCACAGACTGTGCCTTGCAGAAGAACTCTGATAAAAATTCTCATCACGCCTGAGCGCGCTGCCTGCACTTCAGTGTCCATCCAAGCACCGGCCGCTCAACGTGCAGCTCCCAGCTTCAGGCTGTTCCTCAAGCCAAGCTAAGGATTACCTTTGTTTTTTAACTCTTCACAGTTCCCTTTTTACATGCTTTCAGGCAGGTCACAAAAACCCAGCAGAGAGAGTTCAAGAGGAGAGGGGGATGAAGAGATGTCACTGGAGGAGGGCAGTATAAAAAGCTGCATCTTTTTCAATTTGGCTTACCCTCTCGCTCGTCCTACTACGTCCTTCTTCTCCAGCCAATGCTGCCCTCGTTTGTACAGCCCTCTGTCATCAACAGCATTATTGTCTCCCTTTGTCAAAAATTTGATGTCACCGTTTTGCCTGGCAAAGACAAGAAAGGCAGGTAAGGCAGAGAAAAACAAGTCACTGAAAGCTCTTGTAGAAGAAGTACATAAAGACCAATACCGAGGTATCAGAAGCACTTGCGTCCTACGTGTTTAAGTGGGGTGAAAAAGGGAAACTGTCAAATGCAGTGGAAAGCAGACTGTGCAGAAAACAACCTGCCCACAAAAGAATTAGTTCCAGCAAAGTTTGCTGGGGGAGTTTCAGAACAGAACAAGCAGGATGAGCCATTTCCAGCAAAGGTGCAGCTGTTGCCTCTTTGCTTTTGGCCTCTCTTGTGTTTATGCTTCTCTTGCTCCATACATAAATATTGGGTTCTGGGCTCTGCACTGCCACCAAACTGAGTCTTGGGGGTTAAAGCATAAGGTTCTACCCAGCAGTGTTCAGACTCACAGAAATGCAGAATAATGGGGGTTACAAGGGACCTCTGAAGATGATCCAGTCCAACCCCCCTGCCAGAGCAGGACCAAAACTAGGGCAGATCACTCAGAAAGGCATCCAGACAGGCCTGGAAAGTCACCAGAGAAGGAGACTCCACAGCCTCTCTGGGCAGCCTGTCCCGGGGCTCTGTCACCCTCACAGCAAAGAAGTTCTTCCTCATGTTGAGGTGGAACCTCCTGAGCTCCAGTTTGAATCTATTGCCCCTTGTCCATTACAAGGAATGGAGGACAGAACAAAACAATGCCATTAATGATACTGCACAGACTCAAGACATGCCTACATCTCTGTGCAGTTCTGAAGCCTCTACATCATCTTTTGAAATGGAGAGAACCGGATAAGGTTCAGAAATGGATAATAAGGACTGGAACCAGTTCCTTACAAGAAGCAACAGACCAGGACTCTTCAGCATGGAAAAGACAGAATTGGTGGGAGATGTGATTATAGTCTAGTACAAATGACATGGACAGCAATGATCAGCTTTTCACTGCCTCTTCTGATAGAAGACCTTGAGAGCATTGAAGAAAACTCAAAGGTAACAGGTTAAAAGAATCCAGATAAGGTGTTATGCTTAACTAACATATTGTAAACTAAATCCCGTCTCTCTGGAAGGACATTTTGGGTGCCAAAATACTGTATCACTTCCAAAAGTGACCATTTACTCAATGCAAAAAAGAAGGGGGGCTATTAATAGAGAACTGTCACTTTGTTCCTAAAAGGGTAATTTGCAGGAAGCAGGGGAATGATGGCAATGCACTCTCACCTTTAATTTGTGAACTAAGATGAATTAGTTCACTGGCCAGAAACACAATCCTGGAGCAAAAGAATCTCGGCTTTGACCTGGAAACTGCTGTTCTAGCTTTATACCTCATGTTAAGCAATCTTCCCCTGTCATTTCCATACAGCTTGCTGGACAGCCAGCAATGCCTGCTTATGAGCAGCAGCTTGTGCCACGGCTTGGGGATCAGCCTGGTACTGCAATGTCCCTGTGGCTTCTGAAGACAGGTGCTGAGCAGGAGCACCCTTGTTGCTTGACTCAGCTTGCTCACAGACACCACAGCTCAACTGCAACTTGGGAAAGCCTGCAGAAGATCTTCAGGGCTCATGCTGTTCTCATATTGCCTGAATACCAGTGTGTGTTACTTAAAAGGAGAATCGTAGAATGGTTTGGGTTGGAAGGGACCTTTGACATCATCTAGATCAAACCACCCTGCATGGGCAGGGACACCTCTCGCTAGACCAGGTTGCTCAGAGACCCATTCAGCCTGGCTTTGAACGCTTCCATGCATGGGGCTTCCACTAGAACTGTGGGAGGGAAAAAAAGAGGAAAACCAGAATGGATCTTTCTTCAAAGCACATTTGGCTCACATAGCAAACATGCTATGAGCAACCTGGAACAAGATGAAGATACCCAAAGGTGCAGATAATGTAGATTCAGCTCTGAAGACAGATCGTGTAGGACTGTACCACCTTATTGACCAAATTTAATGCTCTATCAAGAAGCAGTGTGAGAATTCCACAGCACAGTAGCTCTGATGTCTGACAAGTGAAAGAAGTCTGCTCTGGCTGCCCTGCACCAAAACCAAAAAACAAAAAAGGAAATTTTGTCCACAGACACTGTGTTTAGTGATAAAGAACCAACTTGATTTCACTCTGAAGCAAGAAGAGAATTACAAGTAAAAAATATTTTCTCACTGAAACGATTCTGATGTGAACAAGACCCTGAGTTGCCACCAAATCACCAACAACAGGTTTCTGTCTTCCTTCAATTTTGACACTCCTATCAGCTCTCCCACTTTTCATATTCAGTCCATAACCAGAGAAAGAAATGAGACCCTCCAGCCATTCAGCACACTCTGGAACTCTAAACTGGCACCAGAAAAATATTCTTTAAATACTGATACCACAGAATCCTGCCTTCAGCATCCACCTTCAGGTCACCATAGCGATTTTTCAGTTTTAACTTTCCTAATACAAAGATCAGGTTTGTGCTTGGTTGTTTTATTTAAATGACATCTAAAATATTGGAGAATGGCTTTACTTCACATCATCTAGGATTGGCCCTATGGTCCTATTACATTTTTAAAAATGAAGCTCTAGACACCTTAATAGCTATTGCTGAGAGAGAGCCTGGCAGAAAAGAGAAGGGTGGGTAATCCCAGGGGATGAGCTGCTGCACAGAACAGATGTTTCTGCTTCTCCTTCCCATGCATGGGCTGAGAGCAGAGAAACCTTGACCTCTCCTGCCTCTTCAATTTTAAGCCCAGGAAGCAGCACCAGCTGAGCCTTCAGCATGCAACAGAGGAGGAGAAAAGCAGCATTTCACTTAGAAGAGCTCCCAAAACATCACAAAAAGTGCAGGTGTAACACTAGATACCATAGTTACTAAGTACACTGACCTGCTGGGAGTTGCCACTCTCATAGCCAGGATTTCAGGTGTGTGAAGCTGGTTGTCCTTGACTTTGGGCCAGACAGATGGTCTAGATGTCCCAACAGCTGTGGCTGCTATGAATGCGGGGAGAAGGAACCCTCTCTATTGCATGGCCCTCACCTGATGAGAGCAATGCTCAAATGCCACCTTTACATACGACTTGAGTGATTCCCTTAACCAAGGAACTGAGGGCTGGTACAGCTCCAGTTCAGTCCTACTGCAGCAGAAGGAGATGCTGGGACTCCTGCCAACTGCTGCCCTCTCAGAGCTGACCCAAGAACCAGGGATTCAGTTCAAGATTGAGTTTTCACTCCACTGCCTCATGGGACTAGCTCGTATCCCCACAAATGGGCCTGGAACGTCATGGTTCCACCCAGCAACACAGGGACACTCATGGCTGCAGAGGAAGCCTTGCTTGGAAAACTAACCCCTGTTCAGCAGCAAACCAGAGTGATCACGTTTCACTCCTGCTCATTCCTAGAGAAAGAACAGTACACAGAGAGCACAGCATGCGTAGAGACTCCAAGAGCAACAACGTAGAACTTCTGACAGGGAAGAAAAGAAGCACTTTGCTTCTGCATGAGAGGAGGACCCAGGACCACAGAGACAAGCTGTAAAATAATGCCCGTGACACAAAAAATGTCCTTCTTCCAGAAGTTCTGCCTCTACAAACAAGAGTCACTTCATGCCCACAAATGCAGCCATACCTACAGGAGACAGCAACAGTAAGTTGCAACTCAGGATGGAAACGATGGCACTGGAGACATTTGGGAACATGCAGAGTCCAGGATACTGGCACAGACTCCCCAGCTTCTGCTGGATGATCTTTCCAAGAAAACCAAGGAGAGAAGATTTTGTCTGAAACTTCTATGTTAGTTCCTACAGCACCTGGATAGCTGTTACTAACATCCCACACAATCATTTACACAGGGAGAGGAGGAAAAAAATACAATTTAGCTAAACATCTGCAGCACAACCCCCCAGTTCTTGACATACTTCTCATGAATTTTCAGAACACGATGGACTATAGGAATTTCCCTTCCTTCTATCCTAAAGACCACGATTTCTCCCACTCTGATTGGATCTTCAATTCGGTTTGTGAGGAACAGGAGATCTCCTCTGTGAAATGCAGGCTCCATGCTTCCACTGAAAAAGAGAAGAGGAGCAATTGAACAAGACTTAAAACACTCAGAAGAAAGTTTTGGAGTTCATAGTCCTTTAAAGAAAAAATCTCACCCGAACCTCAGTGAAAAGCTCCTAAGAAAACCACTTGGAAACCTGGCAATGGGGTACTGGTTTTAAACTGAAAGAGGGGATATTTAGGTTAGATATTAGGAAAATATTCTTCGCTATAAGGGTGGTGAGGCACCTGAACAGGTTGCCCAAGGAGGTTGTCGATTCCCCCTTCCTGGCGTTCAAAGCCAGGTTTGATAAGGCTTGTGCAGCCTGATCTGGTGGAAGGTATCACTAGCTCATAGCAGGGGGGTTGGAACCTGATGATCTTTAACCTTCCAACCTTCACCATTCTATGATTCTATGGATGTCTAACCTCTACTGCATTCAGATATTCAGTCCCCACACCCCAGCAGCTTAGGTTTGTTGGAAGAGCACTGCCAGTACCTGGTGTTAAAAGCACACCAAAGAGGAAAAAAGCCTTCTGCTTTCTCCATAACAACAAAGCTCCCAACAAGCAGCATCCTCTGGACTTGAGATCATTGCTAGGGTTACACTAGCAGCACTGCAGTGCTAGGGAGCTTTCTTTAATTGATGTTTTATTTTACACAGGTAGAGAGAACAATCCCCATGACCAAAGCACTGAAAGCACCCAGGCTCCTGTATTCCCATCTGGAACAGACAGACGGGCGTGCTAAAAATTTGTTACTGTGATTCATCACTTTGCATCAGGATCTCATTTCAGGCCCTACTAGTCAAGTTATTTTTCTCCTGTCTCGTAAATGGCAATTGATACAAAATACTTAACCTTCTGAATTCCAAATAAATAATGCAGCACCAAACAGAACAGTGAACTTTAATTACCACAAATGTCCTTTAACTACCACAATGTCTATGTTTTATCTTGAGATAGAACAGAAGCTGCTATTCAGAAGATCACATCACCAAAGAAGGGATGGCTCCTGTCTTAATCACTGGGAGGAACAGCATGAAACATCTGCCCTGGACTTCCCAATCTTCTCAGGAGGGACAGAAATGCCACTCAGATTTATTTTGTGGGAGTCATGTTAAATGGCACACAGTGATCTGGCACGGAAAGGCCACGGAACGAGCCCTGGGCAATATCTAGGTGGCACCTGACAATTGGAACCTGATGATCTTTAACCTTCCAACCTTCACCATTCTATGATTCTATGGATGTCTAACCTCTACTGCATTCAGATATTCAGTCCCCACACCCCAGCAGCTTAGGTTTGTTGGAAGAGCACTGCCAGTACCTGGTGTTAAAAGCACACCAAAGAGGAAAAAAGCCTTCTGCTTTCTCCATAACAACAAAGCTCCCAACAAGCAGCATCCTCTGGACTTGAGATCATTGCTAGGGTTACACTAGCAGCACTGCAGTGCTAGGGAGCTTTCTTTAATTGATGTTTTATTTTACACAGGTAGAGAGAACAATCCCCATGACCAAAGCACTGAAAGCACCCAGGCTCCTGTATTCCCATCTGGAACAGACAGACGGGCGTGCTAAAAATTTGTTACTGTGATTCATCACTTTGCATCAGGATCTCATTTCAGGCCCTACTAGTCAAGTTATTTTTCTCCTGTCTCGTAAATGGCAATTGATACAAAATACTTAACCTTCTGAATTCCAAATAAATAATGCAGCACCAAACAGAACAGTGAACTTTAATTACCACAAATGTCCTTTAACTACCACAATGTCTATGTTTTATCTTGAGATAGAACAGAAGCTGCTATTCAGAAGATCACATCACCAAAGAAGGGATGGCTCCTGTCTTAATCACTGGGAGGAACAGCATGAAACATCTGCCCTGGACTTCCCAATCTTCTCAGGAGGGACAGAAATGCCACTCAGATTTATTTTGTGGGAGTCATGTTAAATGGCACACAGTGATCTGGCACGGAAAGGCCACGGAACGAGCCCTGGGCAATATCTAGGTGGCACCTGACAAGACCATCATCTGAGGCTGCCCAGGAACTCTGGCCACAGGAATTTGTCCCAGGAAGGTGGGAGTAATACTAGCGATACCCACTGCCTGACTTTTCTGCCATGTGGCACCTCAGAGGGAGTCAGCTCCAGAGCAACAGCCACTATCTCCAGCTGTGAGTTTAAGAGGCAGAGCTACAGCTGCCCTCTCCCTGGCCAGGTACGGGTCGCCAACACAGGACACATCTCATCAGGACACACCTCATCAGAAGGCCAGGGAAAAAACTGAACAGCTGTGAAAGAAGAGTTGGTGGATACTTTAAAGGATTGCAACATAAAGCTCATTGGGCTTTCCATCAAGCCAGCTCCTTTAAAAAACAAAACAAACAAACAAAAAAACAACACAACAAAACCAACTCTTTTCACTATATATTTTTTTTTCCCTGGCATCTCAAAGATTTCAACTTCCTTGTCACTAACCAAGACTCACCAGACACTTCAACTACTCATACAGCAGCTACAAGGCACGCAGGAGGTACCAGGGCCCTGCAACGTTCTGCTGCCACAGTTCCCACTCTGGGAGGCACTGTTTGCCTTGAAGAGCAGATCAGCTCTGCCCAAAGCACTGCTTTCACACAGGGTCGATCTGCCCCCAGGTAGCAAGTTCATCACCCCCTACTCCAACGCCTTCCATTTCCTAGCCTCTTCCACCCACACGACCAAGGGTTTCTCCAAGAATCACAGAATCACAGAATGTCAAGGAAGGGACCTCAAGGATCATTGGGTACAACTTTTCTAGGTAATAATATAGTTTAAATGAGGTGGCTCAACACCTTGTCAGGCTGAGTCTTAAAACTGTCAAATGTAGGGGAATCCACCTCTTCCTTTGGGAGACTATCCCAACGTCTTAATTGTTCTTATGATGAAAAATTTTCTTCTGGAGTCTGCTCCAAGAGGTGTGGGAGGGCCCAAAAATGCCTGGGTTGTGCTCTCACCATGTTTCTTTGAAGTCCTGCCTCTTCCTTCCCGTTCCTCAGAACAACCTCTCTAACATCCAACCCATCCAACCCCTGGAAGCAAGGGGGTGAGGGGCTCTTTTTACATCAGGCTGCCAGCCTTGCTTGTCTACTTCCTCTTCCCGTGCTGCTTCTCTGCCTTACACAAGAGGTTCTTAGAGAGGCTCTTACTGCCGGGAACGGGGCCTCCAGCTGCCTCATTCCCCTGGAAGACCCTCCCCCGCCCCGGCAGAGTCCTGGGGGTGGGGTTGAGCTCCAGCGAGGATCCTTCCTCTCCTTTTCTTTCTCACCTCTCCGCTCTGGCAGAGTTAGTGCTTAGGATGCAGTTGCAGAGGGGTTTTGGTTATTTTTCCTTTTTAAAGTTTCCCTTACAAAGAAAAGTTGACAGAAAGCAGTTCTCATCCCAAGAAATCAACAGAATATTTATAAAAACTCGCCCCATCCCCACCCCGTATTTTGAGTAAAAAGCCCCAACAAAAATAAAACAAAACAAAACAAACAAACAAACAAACAAAAAATCACCCAACAACAAACCGAGTAACTAAAAGGTCTGTTTTGGGGATTTTTTTTAAGCCTTAGGAGCCTCTGAATGGCTGTTCCGTGAGGTGCTGCAGGAGCCCCGCCCCGGGCACCACCGCGGAACGAGCCCCCGTTTAACCCCCGCTGGCGCGGGATTTACCTCAGGACCACCACGATGGGGCTCTCGCTGCCCGTCACCACCATCAGCCCCTTCCAGATCATGAGGGCGGACGAGACGATCATGCCGAAGTTCAGCACCTGGTAGTAGAGCTGGGGGGGGGAGGGGGGG